AGAAAAAAAGAGAAATTTTAAATAGTTAGTTTGATACCAATATCAATATTTTTTTTTCCAATTTTTTATGATTTATCTTCATATTTATATTTTATTCAAAAATAAAACCATTATCGTTTTCTCAAAACTAAATAAAACTGTATTATAACATCGACTGAGACGGAAAAAATAAAAAAAAAATATTAAAATTAAGTTGTATCTCGCTGTATTATACAAATACCCTTCTAGTATTATATAAACCAAACAATTTCATTTACATTTAATCTTATTAATAACCGTTTAATACCTCTTACCAAATACTCCTAAATTACAAGTCCATTAGAACCACTAAATTAAAATAAAACGCTGCCGAACATTTTAGGTGTGTTTCATTCACCATTCACAGTCATAGATGACCAAAATCAAATGTTATTCTGACTTGAGACTTTTGGGCTTTTTAGGTCCATTCTGGTGGTTATGGGCCACAATGGGACCCACCATTAAAGCAATGGATCCGGACCTATCATTGTGGGTTTGAATCCACCCATTAGGTTTAGGCCTAGTCCACGGCCTTTCTTTTGACTTAAAATCTTTTCCAACTTTGTATTCTACGGTTTGTATTTTATATAAAGATGGTCAGATGGGTTCGACCTAGATCGATGGAGGATTGTGACTGTTTTGGTTCGAGATCGATTAGCACCGGTTTAGGACAGATGGGTCCGACCTAGATTTTTCTTTAGCCATTGGGACGATCATATGACCCTTTTTTTTTTTTCATTTTGACAATTTTTTTATCCCATTGATCCTCTAGACACAATTTATTTAAGTCGTATGGTGTATGAGGAAGATACCAACTCACAAATACAAGAAAACGTTCACAATTCTCACTATAATTCAAGATTTCGGCTCGTACTCGATTTTCGTTTTGAATAAATTATAATAAAACGTATTCTTTAAGTGTATTTTATTGAGAAAATTAAATACTTTAAGTGTATTATAATAACACTTTTGTAATCTTTAAGAAAAATTTTAAAAAATTATATGTAAAAAATCGATTTTTTCATTAAAAAAACATGATCAATTTGGGCCTGACCCAGAACCGGTTATAAAGTACCTTAATTGAGCCTTTGGGTTTTTGTGGAGACCGGGACAGGTTATGCCGAGTCCGGTAAGGGAAATAGTTTTGGACGCGGTCCCGCCCGGCCCAGGACTGATTTTTGCCATCTCTAATTTTGTATATGTAGATTTCGGGGTTTAAATTTGAAATAATAAGATAAAAGTGGACTTGTTACAGTATCAGATTTTTTTTTCTCAGTATCATGTACCAACCAATTATGATTGGTACATAAAATCTTATATTGTATACATACCAAATGTATTTGATACCAGCTTAACTAGTACCAAATTGTTTTGATTGATAATGGTTTTGTACCAACTTCAAATTACATGTATGAAAATTTATCATTTTATTCAAATTTTGAGTGATATTTTTGAATTTTCAAGTAACACGTGTGATGTTTAAGAGATTCTAATTGCAAAGAATAAAACTTGTAAACATTGAAATGCTCAAACAAAAATAGTTTAAGTTTTGATTTTTAATATTCAATACATAAAAATACTAAAACTAATAAATAATTAAATAAGTTAGTACCACGTTATTACTATGGTATGCAACTTCCAATATACCAACCAAGTTTGCATACTTGGCAGGGATGAGATCGGTTCCGAACTGGTTAGTACCCATTTTTTTTGGGAGTGAAAACTAGGATCGAAACCGAACCGCATGTACAAATTCGGTACTTGTGCGGTTTCGGGATGAAAAAATTGGTACTAGGACCAATTAGGATCGAAAAATAAAAGTGGATTAAGAAACAATCAAAAGCTCATAATGTTCATAATGTTTCAAATGTGTATCAAAACCAATCGCAAAAGCTCAACAATTAAAATGACATATTGTTTGAAAATCTTTCAAATGAGTATCAAAACCGATCGCAAACCACTTAATCTTCGTCTTTGGTGTTTTTTTTCCCCTTTTCCTTTTTCCATTTTGTTCGTTTATAGCCTTTTTTGATGGTGAAAGGGCCGGATTTTTGAGGTGCTCGAAACCATATGATCAAAGGTAAAAGGGCGTATTTCAAGCAAAAAAATTAACATAATGTAAGATAAAATAAAAATTAAATAAATAATGCAGTTTAATTAAAAATGGCGTACAAGTTGAATATATGCAAAATCTAACTGGTTTTTTCCTTCTCTTTTTACTTTTTTTTTATCGTTACCAAAAAAATTATATAAAAAACAAAGTGAATTAAACTTGTTACCTCTAATGTCACATCAAATGACCCTAACAGTATGTTACAACCATTTTTTTTTGTTAACTTACGGGAACATACAGCAAATTAAAGCGGGTGCACCTTTAAGACTCCTGATTCTTTTTCCACTATGTTGACATGATTGAGGGATATAAAAAAACCAGAGAGGGTGCAACGTGCACCTACTTTATCATGTCGAGTGTAGACGAAGTGAATGTGTACCCATTTTAAACTGAAGGATGGTCCCTTGTATTGACAAAAAGTCGTTGCAATCTGCTATTAGTGTGGTGCACATGTTTCTTGCAAAAAACCACATGTTGTAATTTTTAATGAAACCATGTTTTACATAATTATTTGTTTTATTTTATATTATGTTAATTATTTTTCTCCCTTTGCTTGGAAATTTTTCAGGATCCGAATTTTCTCGTTTACTATATATTACGCATAACCCCCTCAACATGATGTATACATGTTATATACATACACCATAACATGTATTGGATGTAAGTATACTAAATGACTCTTCAGATAACAGACACCATCTACTGAAAACGAGGACCAAGTTACCTTACTATATACTTCTCGTTATAAAAGTTTCAACAAGATTCACCTTGTAGTATAGGTAATTCGACATCGAGTGGATACTGAAACTGGCACCTACACATGCTTATCATATACAATAGGTTAGAGGTGGACCTAGAAATTTTTTAAGTGGTGATGTTATTTGTTGTAGATCTGTTGGTTGATTTATTGCCTTTGCATGAAAAGAACCCGTATTCAAACCCTTTCTTCGGAACTTTTTAAAAACACAAAAGCTATAAAAAAAATTCCAAAATTTAAGCTGAAAAGTGAAAAAAAAAGAAGAAGGCAAAAGTGAAACTTGAATCCAGAGCTTTTGTATAAGCACATCAACGTTAACCATCTCAGTCATTGCAAACTTGTGACGTTACTTTAGTTTCAAAAAATGCCAGGGTACCCAACAAAACAAAATAGCGTCATCTTTTATAAACGTAATTTTTTTTCCATATGACAGAACCATGAAAAGGTGGTTTGTGCCATCTTATTCTTCTATATAGGTCCTCCCTTGCAGCAAGTCAATGTTTTACCGTTACACATGATACGAATGTGTAATACTACACCAAAGACTCACATTAGGCTCTACCAACCTTGTGCGTTCCGTGCCAAAAACCTCTGTAATTTGGCATGGTTTGTGCCGTTAAGCAATATCCATACCAAATCCCATTACAATTTGGCATGGTTCGTGCAATACTCAAAACTGTTCTCTTAGTTTTATATGCACCTATGATCGTAGTTTTTGGCCTCGAATCTCAGCTATACTTCAACTAAACCCATTCTTTTAGTATGTAAACACTCCTAATTAACATACATATGCAGTTAAACTTCGATCCAACACCAAATCATGGCTTAACAATTCGAATCTTTAGTACTCTTTTATTCAAACAACCGACACGTTTCATCAATCAAACCTATGACTTCAGATCCTCACATTGGTCATGAAATCAACGCTAAATCATTACTAAAAATTCTATGATATGCTACTAAACCTAATAAAAAGAGAGATTTAACATAGAATTTGTACCTTAAGTTGTCGGTTTCCTCCCAAATCACTTTGCTTCTCTTTTATTAAAACACACACCAAATCACTCATTTTCTTCACCAATCTTGATGGTTTTATTTTACCTTAAACATATTTTGCCTGGTCATCCGAATCATCTAACGTATCTAATTAGTTTGTCTTTGTTTTTCTGTCAAATAAAAAATTTACAATCAAGCTTGCTTTGTGATAATGTAACCTGAAACACATATTTTATATCAGAGTTAAACATACGCCTTTTATATACTAAAGAAACTCTTTCTACCATTTATAACAAACCATACAATTGAGATGTTTATGGAAATGATAATGGTTCATTTATTATGAGTTGAATATTTATAGAAGATGATTAGACTTCATTAATTATGATTCAACACTTTAAATTAGAATACAACTGAGATATTTACAAAACAAGATATCCATTAGAAAATGGAAGTTTGTGATCACTTCATATAGTTTGTTTACATATATAGGGTTTTGACAGTATTTTTCCTTTTAAGTATAGTATTTAATATATTAATCAATATATACTTGTTTCACAATCTGTTTGTTTCGTATGTATTCGATTACAATAGGAAACTTTTTATGTATATTTTTTATTTCACAAACATATAAAAAATATTCACATTATAAATTAAGTATGAAATAAACACAGATATATATATATATATATTAATTATTACATTAAATTCTAGTTCTAAATAAAAAAAAAGTTTACATAAAATATCATATGATGCATTAGTTCTCGAAAATCAGTTCTCCGTCCCATTTAAAGGGGTGTTTGGGATTGCTTATTTAAAACAACTTATGCTTTTCTACAAAAACACTTATTAACTTATTATAAGTCAGAAAAGTTTAAATTCTTTAAAAACTGCTTATCACCGATTTGACTCCGATATAAATTATTTATCCAAACACTTAAACAATAAACACCACACCGAAATAACTCAATAAATTATTTTAACAAGCAATATGAACGACCCCTTGTTAAAGTTGCTAACACTCTTAGTCGGTGAAGTAAAGAAGTTGATAGTAGACGCGTTGACTTGTAGACGTTCAGATTAAATACAGATGGATCCTTGAAATACGATATCGTAGATCGGATCAACTTTCAGAGGGAGAAGGAGAGAGACTGCGTACCGTTGCTGTTGGTGATTTGCGAAGGGAATGCAAGATAAAAATCCCGTGAATTTCTAGGTCAGAAGCCAAATTCATCAATCAGGCTTTGGAAATCTACTTGCTACCATACGCAAGGTCGTCAATCACAAGTTTTCCAGTTAGTTAATCAAGGGCTGTAGACATTGTAGAAATCGCTGTTCCAAACGAGATTTTGCCCGTGTGTGGAGTAATTTCGTAAAAGGTAAGTTCGCTTTTGCTTTTCTTCAAGATTCAACTGGCGTCTAAACAAGCATTTTGCACTACTTCGTTAATGAGTTCTCGTTGTTCGATTTCCTTTTCTGTTTGAATTTGTGAACCGTTTGTCACATTTTCGCTTTCGATCTAAATCGATTTCTGATTTACATTGCGATATTGTTACTGGTTTCTGTTGGTTTTTGGAGCGGTATGTCACTGGTTTATTTAATTAGCTTCAGATTAACTGATTGCAGGATAAGATTCCATTCTATTATAGCCATATTCTAGGGTTTCGGTCGTTAATGGTTATGCATCTTCTTTAGGTTACTAGATTATTTGCTTAAATTAGATTAGTTTCTCTTCTTTTGAACTGGTTTTGTTGATCTGATTTGAAAATTAATTTTAGATCTATACGATTTAGATCGTTATCAAGTTAGATCTATGATTTACCTCAGCAGATTGATGATGTTCCGATGACTTAACAGACTTCGATTTAAATTTAATGTACATTTCTATGTTTAAATTTTTACAGGTTGGCCTTCTTTGTGTGAGCCGGTGTCTAGTTTAGATCAATTAAGGGAATAAATCATGTTCAAGCAATCACCACGCAGAAATGGTCGAAACAAGGGATTGAAGATAAAGCACGTGTTGCAGATCTGTGTTTTGCTTGGTGTGAGTGTATGGTTGCTTTACCAACTGCAGCACTCCGGTAATAAGAAAGCGGTCTCTGCTACACACATCTCCGAGAGGTTAGAACATGATGGCGATAATGACGTGATCAAGTTAGGGAGAAAAGGGCTTCAACCGAAAGTGGAGGAAGCAAATGGTGACCATCATGAAGATGAAGATGAAAACAATTCTGAAGAGCTTGTCCATGACCATGACAATGACAGCAGTGAGGAGGATGAAGGCAACCAACAGGAGAAAACCGAAGAGGAGAATGGTGCAAGAAACACCGAAGAGGCTGCAGAGACTGAAAATAAAGACGATGTAGAAGAGAGCAGGGAAAAGGAGGATGGGATCGAAAAGATGAATGAAACTGAAAATGGAAGCGAAGAGACTCAAGAACTGGAGAAGAAAGAAGGAAGTGAGAATGAAGAAAATGAAACCAAGGGATTGGAGAAGAATGATGAACAAGACAATGGGGAGAGCAGAAGTGAAGAAAACGTTAGGGAAGATGGCAAACAGGATGGAAGTGAAGAGACAAAATCAGAGAACGAAGAAAAGCACGATGAACAAGAGAATGTTGAGGAAGCGGAGAAGAATGACGAAAACCCAAACATCAAGAATTTGGGTTCATCAGCAGATCAAAATGAAAAAAGAAGCGATGGAAATGACCAGAGTGTGAGAGAGGAGAATAGAAAAGGAGATGATGCCTCCAGTGAAGTGGTTGATGAATCTCAAAAGACAATAGAAACAGAATCAAAGGAGCAAACTGTATTTACAGACTCTACAAACATAAGTTCAGATCCAAATTCAGCACAAAACGAGTCCTCTGAGCATAGTGAAGGGACCAACTCTACCAACAATGGATCAAGTTCAGATTCAAATTCAGCAGAGACCAACTCATCGCAGATGGAATCCAAGGAGCAAACTGGAGATACCAGTTCTACCAACAATGAAGCAAGTTCAGACTCAGCACAGAACGAGTCAACCCAGATAGAGTCCAAAGAACAGACTGAAAGCACCAACAATGAAGCAAGTTCAGACTCAGCACAGAACGAGTCAACCCAGACAGAGTCCAAAGAACAAACTGAAAGCACCAACAATGAAGCAAATTCAAATTCGAGTCCAGCAGAAAACGAGTCAATACAAAGAGAGTCTAACGAGCAAAGTGAAAGCACAGACTCTACCAGCACTGGTTCGAGTTCAGATTCAAACTCGGCACAAAACGAGTCGACCCAGACAGAGACCAAGGAGCAAACAGAGAGTCCTGACTCTACCAACGATGGAGCAAGTTCAAATTCAGATTCAGCACAAAACGAATCGAAACAGACGGAGTCCAATGAGCAAACCATGAGTACAGACTCTAACACGAATGGAGAAAGTTCAGATTCGAACTCAGTGCAAAACGAGCCAACCCAGACAGAGTCCAAGGAGCAAACTCAAAGTACAGACTCTACCAACAATGGAGAAAGTTCAGATTCAAACTCAGCGCAAAACGAGCCAACCCAGGCGGAATCAAAGGAGCAAACTCAAAGTACAGACTCTACCAACAACGGGGAAAGTTCGGATTCGAACTCGGTCCAAAACGAGTCAACCCAGACTGATTCGAAGGAGCAAACTCAAAGTACAGACTCTAACAACAATGGAGAAAGTTCAGATTCAAACTCGGTGCAAAACGGGTCAACCCAGACAGAGTCCAAGGAGCAAACTCAAAGCACAGAATCTACCAACAATGGAGAAAGTTCAGATTCGAACTCAGCACAAAACGAGTCAACGCAGACAGAGTCCAAGGAGCAAACCCAAAGCACGGACTCTACTAGCAATGGAGCTAATTCAGATTCAAACACCGCACAAAATGAGTCGACCACCCAGACAGAGGACAAGGAGCAAACTCAAAATACAGACTCTAACAACAATGGAGCAAGTTCAGAATCAAACCCGGGACAAAACGAGTCAACTCAGACAGAATCGAAGGAGCAAAATCAAAGTACAGAGTCTAACAACAATGGAGCAACTTCAGATCCGAACTTGGCGCAAAACGAGTCGACCCAGACGGAATGGAAGGAGCAAACTCAAGGTGCAGACTCTAACAACAATGGAGCAAGTTCAGAATCAAATCCAGCACAAAACGAGTCAACGCAGACGGAATTGAAGGAGGAAACTCAAAGTGCAGACTCAAACAACAATGGAGCAAGTTCGGAGTCGAATTTGGCGCAAAACGAGTCAACCCAAACAGAGTCTAAGGAGCAAACTCAAAGCACAGATTCTACCAACGATGGAGCAAGTTCAGATTCGAACTCAGGACAGAACGACTCAACACAGACAGACATTGGAGGTGGAGGTGAAGGAAGCAGCCATGATGCAGAGTAGAGTGATCTTCTACTTATTATAGAATCTACTACTCAAGTTTCTATTCCAGTTTTTTTTTTTTTTTCGGTTGTGGTAAAATAGCATGCAAGTGTAGTGAAAGTATGTATGTATGCATCTGGTCATGTTTGTTGATGGTTGGTTGCACAAGCACCTTAGGAGGAATCATTATTTTAAATTTTAAATAATGGTTTTGTTTCAAATATTTATATATCAACTCATTTTTACTCCATATTCATATCACTTGATCATTCTATAGAAATCAACTGCTAGGTTGGATTTTGGGAAGAGCAAGAGAATTAATAGGATGTGGGAAGTTCTAATATCAGATATGATATTAAAACATGTTACACGTTTGGTCATGTTCACCAAGTTACCCACTTCGTCTTTGAATGTGTTTAATCATATATAATTACTCATTCATATCACGTATAATCATATATGATCTTAAAACTTCGTCCCCTCTCGTTTGGTCCTCCATATGGGTGTGTATATATATAGACATCAAACTCAAAAGGCAACCACAGTTCAAGGGATCTCCGCTATATATAAACCACAATAACGAAGCATTCACAAAAAAATTATTTGCAATGGTATAAGAGAAACAACACAAGGCCAGTAGCAATTCTACCGGCTTTTTTAAGTGACAAATTTATCAAAGCTACATAGTTGAAGAACATGAGTAGTAGCCTTCATGCTTCAATGGTGTGTCTTGACTTCAAAAAGGCCATCTGGACCTGAAAAAAACAACCATACAAATTACTCAAAGACTCGACTGATAAGTAATATAATCTTTGTTTGTTTTATGGTTTGATGATCAAAATATACAAACATCCAACTTCTGTTTTTAAAGCAGCCCAGCTGAAAAGGACTACTGGCAAAAGTTCAACAAAGAGTGACCTTCACAACTTTGTGAAACTAGCCATCTATTACGTATAACATGCAACGTGAAAGGGGAGTCCATTACTATCTTTGTCCCATAAAAAAGTCCTACATTAAGTTCAACATAACCCACATTTTTATTTTAGTTAATAAATGTCCACTTTCAAAAGCAAGTGCTTAGTTTCCAATTTCACCCTTAAATTATGAGATAGATAAATTATTTATTCTCTCTGTTATGAAGGATTAAATTGTCATAAATTGATTAGAAAGTGTAACAATAACACATTTCTTAAACTATATGTCTTTTTCATTGTGGACATTTATTTTACAACCGTGGGAGTACTCTGCATCCATCTACTGTCCAAACTGAGTTCCCTTTTAAATGATTTCATCTATGAAATCGCCTCCTTCGTTTTGTGGGGTTGGGGGGGGGGGGGGATAAAAATTAAATTAACACCATGCAAACCAACTAAGTAACAACCATGCAAGTATGCAACTGTAACGTTCAGGTGACTCTAGAGCCTTTTATATATTGAGCTGTTTAACTGACAGCTCGTTTTGTCCTACACCATTAGGTACATGTTACAAAGAAGCAAAAAAGATGCACTTATGACATGGTAAAAGAACCTATAAACATGTTTATCACACGAAGGTAACAAATGCTTCGCGAGTAGAGATGTGTTCTTACGTGCTAGTCTTCTTCAAGACCAGCTTTCCAACGTGATATATATTCGAGTGTATTCCTCTAGAGAGATAATTAGATTACTTACTCATCCGTTAACACAGCCAGACTGCATCATATTACATCATTAAATAACCAGCAACATTATTATAGTTCTCTTATAAATCACGAACGCTACTACTGAGAAGGGTAATAATATATTACTTGGAGCATGTTTGCTGCTATGAATTTACTATGTAATCAAATTAAAATACAACACCAACATCCTAAATGTCACATGTTAGTTTTCCATAGTCGCAGTGAAAATGATAAGGGTGAGGGCTGAGGAAGGCCGAGTAGGAAGTGGGATGAGCAGCTCAAGTTGGACATGGCAGCTTTAGGTATTTCGGAGTACATGACCTCAGACAGGAGTTCTTGGAGACGTGGGACAATGGTTGCAGACTAAAGGTGGTGATCTAAAGTTGGTGTAGTAAGGTAGAAGGGAGTTGGAGAGGTAGAAGGTGGAGATGGGGTGGGTTAGTTGGATTAGGGGTGTGTAATTTCCTTTCCTCCATTATGATTTTTCATTTACCTGCCTTATATTTGTATATATTATTGCCTACTCTTAATTAGTTTTTTTCAAATAATTTTTCATATTTGTCTCTCTTCCACACTTGACTATTTTCACGGAAACTACTCTACTTATTTGGGGTAGAGGTCAAATTTGCGTACATCTAACCCCCCCCCCCCCTCCGACCCCACCTTCCGGTGGGACATACTTGGTTCGTTTGGTTTGGTTTGGTTTAGTTTTCTGCAAATACCTGATGGTTCAATATATGCAGTTGTGTGTGTACGTAGGAAATAATCATTTGTACACAACATGCATTCGTGTTCCAGGAAAATCAAATGTTAAAAGTGAAGGTTGAAACAACAAAAATGACAAGTAAAGAACAAAATAATAATAAGCAACAGACAGCTTTTATTTTATCCATTAAGACACCAAAACTGGTTTACTTATTGTGGGTTTAACCATACTAATGTTTGACACCATGTGTTGCATGGTGACAATAATTCTTTTTAAAATTATTGAAGTTAGCTAAATGACTCGATGATCACATTTATATACTAAACAAATAAGAATCAATATTACCTTTGATATATGAATCCACCTTATCATTATTGGTTGTTCTTTTAATATATATATATATATATGTGTGTGTGTGTGTGTGTGTGTGAGATTAATAAGTCTTATATATTTATAATATTTTATTATATCAAACTTTGTGATCAGTTCAAAATCATAAAAAAATATATGAAAATATTGATTATAATCATATAAGGTGTATTATCAGAATTGTTTAGTCATAATACATATCAATTTGTCTTTACATATATTCTCATAAAATATTTATATTCACCAAGCAAACATTGTCTTGTTACCTACTTTCAAGATTCCATTGTCGGACCATTAAAAGAACCATTATTGTCATGAAAACTCTAAAAGTGTTGTCAAGAACAAACTCTCATTTTCATTAAGAAAACTTAAGAAAATTATAGAAGAGAAAAGTAAAAAAAACAAAATTCTAAAAATCCCAACAAAAAGAAAAAGGAACGCATACCTGAATTAGTCTTATACATAATAATAATATGTGAATCAACTAACATGAAATCTTTTAGCCATTATATATATATATATATATATATATATATATATATAT